TTACATACATAGCACATGTGCTTTCGTTACAAGGTCGCATTTTGCCTCCTCCCACCGCGTGACTACCCCCTCAACCTTCTCCCCTCCCTGTGGCTAACAGCGGGGAACAGTTCTGTTTAGCCACAGGCAAACAGCCCAGCAGGAATGGGCTCCTCTGAGTGTCCCCTGAAGAAAAGCACTCTATTTCAACCAGGTGACCATGAATTATATCTCACTCTCCTGAGGATAACACAGAGAGATAAAGAACGGATGTTGTTTGAATGCCAGCAAACATACACTGCAATGCTTTGTTCTACAATGATTCCCGAGTACGTGTTACTGGCCTGGAGTGGTAAAGTGTCCTACCATAAAGGACGCAATAAGGCTGCCCTCCCCAGAAACCTTTTGCAAAGGCTTTAGGACTACATCTAGGAGAACCGCAAATGCCAGGGCAAAGTAATCCTTTCACATGCTTGCTTCTAAACCATGTATAGTATTTTAAAAGGTACACTCACCAGAGGTCCCTTCTCCGCCTGCTGGGTCCAGGAGGCAGCCTTGGGTGGGTTCGGGGGGTACTGGCTCCAGGTCTAGGGTGAGAAACAGTTCCTGGCTGTCGGGAAAACCGGTTTCTCCGCTTGCTTGCTGTGAGCTATCTGCAACCTCCTCCTCATCATCATCTTCTTCGTCCCCAAAACCTGCTTCCGTATTGCCTCCATCTCCATTGAAGGAGTCAAACAACACGGCTGGGGTAGTGGTGGCTGAACCCCCTAAAATGGCATGCAGCTCATCATAGAAGCGGCATGTTTGGGGCTCTGACCCAGAGCGGCTGTTCGCCTCTCTGGTTTTCTGGTAGGCTTGCCTCAGCTCCTTCAGTTTCACGCGGCACTGCTTCGGGTCCCTGTTATGGCCTCTGTCCTTCATGCCCTGGGAGATTTTCAGAAAGGTTTTGGCATTTCGAAAACTGGAACGGAGTTCTGATAGCACGGATTCCTCTCCCCAAACAGCGATCAGATCTCGTACCTCCCGTTCGGTCCATGCTGGAGCTCTTTTGCGATTCTGGGACTCCATCATGGTCACCTGTGCTGATGAGCTCTGCATGGTCACCTGCAGCTTGCCACGCTGGCCAAACAGGAAATGAGATTCAAAAGTTCGCGGTTCTTTTCCTGTCTACCTGGCCAGTGCATCTGAGTTGAGAGTGCTGTCCAGAGCGGTCATAATGGAGCACTCTGGGATAGCTCCCGGAGGCCAATACTGTTTAATTGCATCCACAGTACCCCAAATTCGAGCCGGCAACGTCGATTTAAGCGCTAATCCCCTTGTCAGGGGTGGAGTAAGGAAATCGATTTTAAGAGCCCTTTAAGTCGAAATAAAGGGCTTCATTGTGTGGACGGGTGCAGGTTTACATCGATTTAACGCTGCTAAATTCGACCTAAGGTCCTAGTGTAGACCAGGGCTTAGTGAGTCTTAAATTACAGCTTATGTTGTCTTGCCGGTGCCCTGCGCCAAATATTTTAAGGGAGCTGGAACAGAGAATCATTTTGGACTGAGTTTTTTTTCTAAAATGTCTTTGCATGTTGTAAGCCTCCTTACAGAGAAGGTAGTACTGGGATTACTCATGAATTTGACTCCTACCAGGTTTTTATCCCGAGTATGGAAATGGCTACAGGGAAACTACAGAACCAAATACTTAAATCTCAAATGTATTAATTGTTTTTCTTTTCTACAACTAAAATCTGTCTCCCTCATAAATAAGTTTGAATTCAGTTTAAGTGCTTACTAGAACAGAGCTTTTTCTTATAAAGTAAAATATAAAAAGTCCTGGGCTTGATATTCTATTCTTTTACTATTCTGTTATTGCAAGGATTATAAGCTTGTTATGTTTGGACTTGTAAAAAACAATTACAATGGCACTTAAAACTTCCTACAGGATTGTAAAAAAACAAATGTGGTGGTGTTGGCTTGTGGTGGTTTTTGTTTGTTTGCATTTTAATATTTTGTAAATGGGAGGGGAACAATTAAATGGGAGTTTCATTTTTGAACTTTTATGTCACTTGGAAGTATTTACATGAATATGGTATATTTGAAAGTGGTTTTTTTTTAATATTAGAAACACAATTTTAGTTTCTGAAAGAACATTCTAAAATATTACTATGGAAGTAATGAATTATGCCTTTTTAGGAGACCATAAAAATTATAAAACTGTCTAGAAGCCTATAGAAGAAGAGTGGGTGAAGCCAGTGATTGGAGAGAGGGTTTGTCTGTTAGGCAGATTCCAGTGTTGAGTGCTGAAGAGGTGAGCAGGTGAAATTGTGTATTATTCAAGGATTGGTTTGCTGGGATCTAGATACTTCTTGAAAGTGTGCAAGGGCATCCAGCAATATGGTTCTGTATAAAACTTAATAGTTCATCTTATGTTTGTCTTCACAGGGTTTAATTCACTAGGTGATTGTTTCTCATTCTAACTAGTAAATGTGAAAACTGCTTATTGATACTGCAAACTTGTGAATAGCATTTACTGATTGCCGAGCACTAGGGTATGAATTCATGTGACTCAACTTGCCAAAAGTTGAAGTGGTAGGAAACAAGTGACTGAATGTACTGAAGTAATGAAAATAGATAATTTATCTAAAGAAAAATTGTAAACATTGTCAGGAGTTGTTAAGTAACAAGATTGAAAAGAGACATGCTCATCTCAGTAAGTGCAGAAAATTGGTTTCTTTTCGTTCTTAAAGATTAAATATGCCATTGAATGAAACTTTAATAGACAAAGTGGAAGAACAGAACATTGGTGAGTCTGATCGTGCAAATGAGACATTTTCAAAATGTAGCCAGAATGATAATTTAAGTCCCTTTTTGATGCCTTCCTGTTTCTCTTCAACATTTACTTTATTCCTGAGTGCTCTCTTTTCTAACACCCAAAAATAGCAAATGTCAATCAGCAATTTTGCCATTTAAAAAAACTTGAAAGGCAAAAACTTCAACTTGTAAAGAAAGTTGTAACCTCTTTTACGCTAACGTTATGTGAAACATTGCACAGAATGGGCAATTTAAAGAAAAGACTGAAGCATTTTGTCCTGGATATACCCCTACAGATGGATTTTAAACTCTCAGGTCGACTGCTAGGTGTTGCAAATGAAGAAATGGAAGAAAATTAAAGGAAGAACCAAAAAATTGAAATTAAAGCAAAGTGGGTTTTTTGTGGGGGGGGGGAAGAGGGTTTAAATTTGAGGAATGACTGAAATATCTGCAAGCATCCCTATGGGGGAAAAGGTGCCCCAACTTAACGCTAGTGATTCTACACTGAAAGAAAAGTGCAGAATATTATATCCAAACTACTGAAGGTCCCTTATAAGAATCCAGAGAACAGTATGACACAGATTCTCAGGTGAAGTCATCCTAAACTTCTGAAGTATGGATGCTGAGCATGCTATTAAAACCTCACTGGGAAAGAAGTAATATGAAACAGAATCCTAAAGCCTATTGTGGAAGTTCAAAAATGCCTCTGCAACTGCTATCAGCCTCGTGGTTGGTTGACTGAAAAAAGTATTGATTCCCCAATTGCCCTTGGAGAAGCTTGCAAGAAGATTCACACTCTCTCTCTCTCTCTCTCTCTCTCATTAATATATAGTTACAAGAAGCTTATTGATATTTCTTCTGTTCACAAGAAGGACTTGGATCAAAAACATAAGTATTAAACTTACCCAAAATCTTCTCATATGGCTTTTTTTATCTTGACAGATTACAAATTGGTAACACCACTGTCGACGTGGCAAAGAAAATCTGTGGTGTTCCAATTTGTTAATTAGAACCACACAAGCACAAATTGAAACTATGGGACCTTCCCATTACTTAGCCAACTTAACTAATTTGAAATACAAAGACCATATCTTGAGCCCAGAAGAGGAAAAAGAGGCTGAGGTATGGCTTGATGAAACCTAATCCTGAGTTCCTTTTCTCTTCTAGCATTTAAAATTAAAGGTCCTGATTTCCACCCCAAATCCCTTTTCATTGAAGGATTTTGTGTTCTAGTTAGTTGCACCAAAATTATAGAAGCATTCTACCCAGAGCACAAGCTATATGTATATATTTTTTTCAATTTTTAGAAGACCACTCCAGCTTGCTCAGTGTTGATCCAGGATATCAGCTTTTGTTTTTATCTCCCAATTTGGGGGAAAAAATCTTTTCAGGCTGGGGAATATCACAACCTTGACTGTACATTTCACCACTACCCCCCCATTTTTTTCATCATCTGTATGGGGTCAGCTCTTTGAGTTCTTCTGCATTCCAGTCTGTCTTGAAGCAGTTCCTCAAACTGCAGCTAATCACATTCTTTAGTATGACCTCCATCTAGTTTTGGTTCTTCCAACCCTTCTCTTCTTCATTTAGCACTTTGTTTCCTATACATTCTTCCAAGCTTCTTGACTCATGTCCAAACCATCTAAGCTGATTCCCTCCACTTTTTCAGGAAATAGCTTTGTGGCATCACTATTCAAAACCAGATTCAGCGAGAGTTAAATTCTGACCTCTGCTTTAATACACTCTTCCTCCTCTAACACTACATGGATTGCACACATATATTCAAGAGCCACAGTGTCCACAGGGATCTAGAACCATAATGCCTTTTCTGCCTTAAAACACACACTTTTGGATAAATAGTATCTAGTTCTACATAGCTGTGGTACAACTGCATTTGAGAAATGGCTTGCATAGTACATCTGTCTTCTACCAGAACTTTATCATTCCTCATGTCGAAAGCCTGTTTGTTTTTACCTTTCATTCTTACTGATGGAGGTTGCCTTAAATTTTCATTTTTCTCAAATAGAGGCAAAGAGAATTAACTGTTTTTAAAAACAGGTCTCTCCTGTCAGATTACCCTTACCATCATATATAGTCACAGCCTGCATCACTAACCTTTCTTTTTTATTTTAGTTATAACATCCTGTCTTATTTAGAATAATCTTTGGTAACGTCTTTGTTTCACTGACTTTGATTTTTCTTATTCTGCAGCCCTTTTTTGGGTAAAAATCTCATTTGAAGTACTTGGGTGTCACACAAGAACCTCCTGATGCCAACTGCAAAGAGGTGCAGAAGGGTTCAGGAATCTTCTGATTCTGGTATGTGTATTCCATTTCACCAAAGAATGTCATGTGAGGCCTCAAGTGCAAGCCAGTGTCTCACCAGTCATCAGTATCATTGTGAAATGTATGTACAGACACTGTGTAAAGAGCTATGTATGTAGACTGAAAATATGTTGTTAAAGTCTAAGTATGGGGGCTGGTCACCAGCAAAGGTGAAAACCCAGTTTTCTGTCAGACCAGAGATGTTTAGACATCTGTTTACATGTAAATTAAGTATTGTCTCATTCACAGTGGGCTTCCTATCACCAGTCTGAGATGAATGTAAATGAAGGATTGTAAGACGGAACTTCGGTAAGAAATCAGCAGGAAGAGAAGAAGATCAGCAGGGGAAGAGAGCCTTATCTTGAGGTGCACTTAAGAGGTTTGTTTTACTATATTTGGGGAATAGAGAAGACCCCCTGGCATCCTTCACTGAGGACTTAAAAGGGCAGCAATTTTTGCTTCGTTGCAAAAGGGATTTCAGACATGCTTGGCTGAAAATGCTGGAAAAAGCTAAGCAAAATTAAGAGAGCACCTTTCAAAAAGAGTAGCTTGTTAAAGTTTTTAGTCTCTAGAAAGCTTGTTATGATTTTATTTTATGTAACCGTTTGTTTTTAATATTGTTACTCACTGTAAGTTGAATCTCTGTTCTTTGATAAACTTATTTTTGTTTTCACTATAAATAGATCTCAGTGCTGTGGTGTTCAGCAAAGTGATGGAGTTTAATCTTACAAGCTAGTGTGTACTGTTCCCTTGCGAATCGCAGGCCTGGTAATTCTGTGAGTGCTCAGTTGATAAGGGGCTTGATGCTACAGGGAATGCTTGGTGTGCACCTTTCACTCCTGTACAGAAAGTGAGGCCTGTGGGCGCCTGGAAAGTAGTGCTTGTGCGGCCAGAGGCTGGTGGCTTCCGGGAGATGATCCACAGCAGGCACAGACATGACTGCTGCACACTAATGGCAGGGAGTAGTTCAGTGCCTCACAACTTTGGGTATCTCCGGTGACCATGACATTGGGAATTCCTCATAAGAATTAGCAGCAACATTGGCCTCTTTGGTTTTTATACTGCCCATATTCTTTAATCTCTCCTGTTCTTCTTTCTAGTAAATGTTTTTAACTTGTACCTTTTACTGTTGATTACTTTAAAAAAAATTGTATACAACTCCTAGTTTGACCGGGTCAGCACCTTTTTATTGAAGTATATTTTATTTTATTGAAGTATGCATAAATTTATTTTCATGTTTGCTTTCAATCCTTTCTTTATTCTTCAATTACTGAGACCACAATTATCTTTCTTTAAACAGTTACTTTTTTTGAATTAGTGCTTATTTTCCATCAGAATGAGGAAATTAAATGTTGGGCGCTCACTTTATAGTTTGTCTCCCACCATCACTGCCCATTGGTGATGAGTTGTAGTTTTTAAACTAATTACCAATGAGTTATTAGTTTCTAAACTCTATATTCTTCTCTTTTTGAATTGTTCTTTTAAATTGACTGGCAGCTTTACAATACATTGATTGGTGTGAAACTCCTGAGTACAAGTACTTTCCCACTGATTCTACTTGCCGAGCTAAAATCGTCTCATTCCCCTGCATGTGGCAGGGAGACCACTTGTGGAGACCACTTGTGATCACTTTTAAGTGCCTTCTTAGATACTCAAAAAAGAAAAGGAGTACTTGTGGCACCTTAGAGACTAACCAATTTATTTGAGCATAAGCTTTCGTGAGCTACAGCTCACTTCATCGGATGCATCCGATGAAGTGAGCTGTAGCTCACGAAAGCTTATGCTCAAATAAATTGGTTAGTCTCTAAGGTGCCACAAGTACTCCTTTTCTTTTTGCGAATACAGACTAACACAGCTGTTACTTTGAAAACTGTCATTATTCTTAGATACTGGAGTTTATAGGCATCAGTTTCTGGAAGAAGGTAATTTGCAGTCCTGGATAGAGAGTCTGCTACTCTGTTCCCTTTTTAAAAATGTGCTTCTGTCAGCATGCAAAGATAAAATTTCTTGGCACCGTAAGTGACTGCTTCTTGGAGCAGCTAGTTCTGGAACCCACAAGAGGAGAGGCAATTCTTGAGTTAATCCTAAGTGGAGCGCAGGATCAGGTCCAAGAAGTAAATTATAGCTGAACCGCTTGATAATAGCAACCATAATGTAATTAAATTTAACATTACTGTGAGGGTGGACTGGAAACACCAAAGAAGCCCACCACAGCATTAACTTCAGAAAGGGGAACTACACAAAAATGAGAAACTAGTTAAACAGATATTAAAAGGTACAGTCCCAAAAGTGAAATGCCTGCACACTGCATGGAAACTTTAAAAAAACACCATAATAGAGGCTCAAATTAAATGTATACCCCAAAATTAAAAACATAGAGGACCAAAAAAGTGCCACCATGGCTAAACAACAAAGTAGAAATTGGTTAGAGACAAAAAAACATACTTTTAAAAATTGAAAGTTAAATCCTACTGCGGAAAATAGAAAGGAGCATAAACTCTGGCAAGTCAAGTGTAAAAGTATAATTAGGCAGGCAAAAAAACAACGTGAAGAGCAACTAGCCAAAGAGTTAGAAAGTAATAGCAATTTCTTTTTAAGGATATTAGAAGCAGGAAGCCTGCCAAACTATCAATGGGGCCACCGGACAATCAAGGTACTAAAGGAACAATCAGGGAAGATAGGCCATTTCAGAGAAACTAAATGATTTCTTTGCATCTGTCTTCATGGCTGAGGATATGATGGAGATTCCCACTCCTGAGCCAGTCTTTTTAGGTGACAAATCTGAGGAACTGTCCCAGATTGAGGTGTCATTAGGGGAGGTTTTGGAACAAATGGATAAATTAAACAGTAATAAGTTACCGTAACCAGATGTTGTTCTCCCAAGAGTTCTGAAGGAGCTCAAATATGAGATTGCAGAACTACTAACTGTGGTATGTGGTACTATTAACTGTGGGCAACAAAATGGCAGAGAAAATTCAATATTTATAAATGCACAGTAATGCACATTGGAAAACATAATCCTAATTATACATACAAAATGATGGGGTTACCATCATCTAAATTAGCTGTTACCACTCAAGAAAGATCTTGCAGTCATTGTGGATAATTCTCTGAAAACATCTGCTCCATGTGCAGCAGCAGTCAAAAAAGCTAACAAAGTGTTGGGAACCATTAGGAAAGGGATAGATAATAAGACAGAAAATATCATAATGTCTCTATATAAATCCGTGGTATGCCCACGTCTTGAATACTGCATGCAATTCAAGGTACAGAGAAGGACAACAAAAATGATTAGGGGTATGGGTCAGCTTCCATTTGAGGAGATATTAAAAAGACAGGGACTTTTCAGCATGGAAAAGAGACGACTAAGGGGATATGATAGAGGTCTATAAAAACTTGACTGATGTGGAGAAAGTGAATAAGGAAAAGTTGTTCTTCACAGAACACAAGAATTAGGGGTCACCGAATAAAATTAATAGGCAGCTGGTTTAAAATAAACAAAAGGAAGTATTTTCTCACACAAAGCACAGTCAACCTGTTGAATTCTTTGCTAGCGGATGTTGTGAAGGCTAAGACTACAACACCGTTAAAAAAAACTAGATAAGTTCATGGAGGATAGGTCCATCAATGGCTGTTAGCCAGGATGGTGAAGGATGCAACGCCATGCTCTGAGTGTTCCTAGATTTTGTTTGCCAGAAGCTTGGAGTGGACAACAGAATGGATCACTCGACGATTGCCTGTTCTGTTTGTTCCCTCTGAAGCACCTGGCATTGACCACTGTCGGAAAACAGCATATGGGGCTAAATGGACGATTGGTCTGACCCAGGATGGCCGTTCTTACGTAAAAGAGCTAACCAATGTAAAATAAGGGTTTAAATGTATAAATGTAATGTATAATAATAAAATGTATGTCATGACTGCTGGCAAGTTGATATAAGTAATTTAAGTTTTACTAACATGAAACTGTTTCTTTGACTTTTTAAGAAGGTTTCAAATATTGTTTGTAGGTTTGACAACATAAATGTGGAATCAAATAGAAATATGTAGGAAAAAATAGTAAATTTAAATATAAATGGAAAAAATATATTAGTACTGCGTATGGGAAATTTTTCATAGTTGTCATTTAAACAGTTTTTTTTCCTATTTCTTTTTGTGTATGTATTTTTGTTTGACAGATGTCAGTTTCAGAATGTAAACATAAGCAGTCTGATTACTAGTTGGCAATTCTTCTACTACTTGCTCTGCAAGGATTGAAAGCACAGCTCCTTTATTAGGGCTTGTCTACACAATCAGTTTGCAGCAAGCAAGGTTGTAAATCTATAGTACTCTAGCCTGCTGTGCAGTAAGTGGCCGTGTGGACTCTGCTATCGCGCATTAAAAGCTCCCTCATGTGCAGTAGTAGGGTCCACATTGTGACTTAGTATGTGGTAGGCTAGAGTGATATACATTCACACCCTGGCTTGCTACACACTAAGTCTCTGTATGGACAAGCCCTTAGTAGTAGCATTATTGATAGTGTACTATAAGTGTACACATTTCTTTACGAAGGGCTTTTGAACAATCAGGCATTAAACTTCTTTCCATTATGACAGCATAAATGATCAATCTCTTTGATCAGTGATAATCAGCAGTCCTGTATCCCAAGGCACATCTCTAAAGGGGTAATGTACCCTAGAAGTTAGTCTGCAACTCACTTATTCTCCAGGTTTTTACCTCAGCATAGCTTGGCTTTTCAAAAGAAGCTTTCAAAATAGCTGACATCTCAGCTTGTGGGAGGACCAAAAATAAGGACTTCCAGGAAGATTCTAGTACTGGATGTATCTGACACAGAAGATCATAGACCTACTACACTTATTTATTTTTGGGAAATTAGGTCTCTGTCTCAGGTTAGACCAAAAGTGAGTGAATCTGTCCTCCCTTCATTTCTGAAGGATGCTTTTTCCCCGCCTCTTGCTTAAAGAAGACCAATCTGAGTTTAGAGCCTGCTTTTATTACATAGTGGTCATTTTTGCATTTTGGTGTGAGGACTGGCAGCAGTGGAGTACAGAGGTGGCAGCCATTTTGCAATCCCGGTATTCACACCATGACAAGTAATATTTAAGTGAACCTTGCTATCCAGACAGGGTAAAGGGTTGAAAAAGAAGGATCTGAGATTGAAAACTTTTGGGGGTAAAATTTGTCACTGTTTAAATGGCTAGAAAATATTTAGCGTGTTCTCATGGCCATGTAATATTAAATTATTTTAATATAATTTCATTTGAAACATTATTTTGAGGAGACAGGACTACTTTAAAAGGGGGATGGGACCAACTGACTATAAAAATGTTATTCATGGACTTATGGTGGTCTTCAAGCAGCTTGCCTTAACTATGGATTTAG